AAGAAGCTGAAACTCTCCATCCTTTACCCTGCAACCACCGGTCGCAACTTCAGGTATTCCCCCCACACACTTTATCCTGTACTATATAGCTGTGACTGTGACTATATTTTCCCAGTGAGATTCTGAGAGTATTGGACTCTCTGCAACTTACTGTCAACAAGAAGGTCGCAACTCCTGCTGACTGGACGGTAGGTCCTGTGGAAGACATAACTACATTTTCAAGTCTTTATTCTCTGTAGAGTGGAGCAGAGTGTATGGTTCTGCCAAATGTGTCTGAAGGTGATGCCAAGCAGCTGTTCCCACTGCATCGCACTGTCGAGGTGCCTTCTGGGAAATCTTACATCCGAATCACACCTCAGCCAAAGTAGAGGGCCTCTGCCAATAGCTATATAGGAATTTTGATTTGACTGAATTTTGATTTGACTGAAATGAGGCTGATTTATATCAAAATACACGATCATGAAAATGGTTTGTGTTTCCAGCAACGGCGCCACCGCCTGCCCCGGGCACCCCGGCCCCTCCTCCTGGACGAGCTGTCGAGGTATGCATGACGAACATGGAGCGCCGGACCTTGGACAGGGTGTGGGCAAGGTCAGACTGTGATGGCATGGGGTCCTCCCAGAAGAAGTCGTGATTCAGAGCTCCGTCACTGTCCAGCCTCTTCTTGGGGTCCAGGACCAGTAGTTTATCAATGAGGTCTATGGCGTGCATGTCTCTCACATAGTGGCGCAGTCTCTCTCGAATCCTTCTCTTCTGGTCCGAGGGCAGCTGCAGTTTACAGTACAGCTCCAGACTCTCCACTCCGGGCCAGACCTCAGGGGTGATGGAGCCACACAGGTTGCTGATGAGGGAGATCTGTTTCTGCTCTGAGTCTCCCTGCATGATGGGCCTCCTTGTCCACATCTCACACATGATGCACCCAGCTCCCCACATGTCTATTGGAGTGGCATAGTTCCGCTCCCCCAGAAACAGCTCTGGTGGGCGGTACCACAACGTGATGACTCTGTTAGTGTAGCGCTGGACCTGCCCCTTGCTCATGGCTCGTGCCAGTCCAAAGTCCCCCAGTTTCAGGACACCAGAGCGAGTAATAAGGATGTTGGAAGATTTCATGTCACGGTTGAGAATCCTAACTCCATGGATGAAGAACAGAGCATTGAAGAGCTGCTGCATGATGGACTTGATCTCCTGTAGAGAGAATCGCACCTCCTCGCAGCAGAGGAGGCCCGCCAGGTCGTGCTCACAGAAGTCAAAGACAAGGAAAATACTGCCCCTCTCTCTGTTATATTGTGTGGCTGGAGGGAGGAGAGCTACTGAACTACACATTCTGTATCTGGGTCTCACCTTTGCTGCGGCACACCTCCACAAGGTTAATCACATTCTCGTGGTTGAGGAGTTGAAGAATGCGAATCTCTCTCAGAGCTGTCATGGGGAACTGCATGGAGCACAACAGATATCCTCTGAGTCCTCAGTCAGCTTTAGGCACTCACCCCTTCCTTCTCATTCTCCATACGGACCTTCTTCAGAGCAACTATCTTTCCACTCTCTCGATCACGAGCCTTGTACACCTCCCTGTGTGATGACCGACAGTATTACTAGCCAACTAACAAATCCGCTACACTCACCCAAATGTCCCCTGTCCAACCTTTGTCAACTTCTCATACTTTGCTACGTCTGGACAAAAGGGAACACACATAGTAGAAGCTTTTATAGGCCCTCCACAAGCAGTAGCCGGTGGCCCGGAGTTCGAGGCAGACGCCATTTTTACTTGGACTTCTTTTTAGTGCCCTCCGTCACGTGACTGCGCTGCGATCGGGATCGATCATCGATCATCGATCATCGATCATCGACGAGCGAGCGAAGAAGAAATATCGTTGAGCAGGAGAAGATGTCGAAGAACACTCTGTCGACGGACTTTCGAAAGGTGGATGTGGACGAGTTGGACGAGGAGAAGTACAGAGACGACCCCGAGACAAGTGAAGCTAGCAATGAGGCGGACCAGGTCGCGCGGCGCGAGCAGGAAGTCAAGCGACTCACTCAAAGATATCCTGTTCCATAACCCAGCGCCTCTGGCTCTATGTAGTAGTGTCTGTGTGTACGGTGTATAGACCAGTATTTCCCTTGACGTAAGTGCACTAGTAACAATATGGAGGCTCTGAAGGTCTGTCTTGAAGACCCTCCAGTGAGCACCAAAGACAAGGCACTCAAGGTATGTACTGACACGTCTCTGTGAATGTCAGTGATGTTGTCTTCACTGACAGGAGAGGAACTTCAACGTAGTGCTGGATGTGCTGACTCGGTTCAGAGCTGCAGATGTGGAGAAGGCGGTCAAGAGCCTCAGTTCTGAGCAGGTGGATGTTCTGATGAAGTATATCTACCGCGGCTTTGCCAGCCCCACTGAGAACTCGTGTGGCATTCTCCTCTCCTGGCACGACAAGGTAGGCAGAGGAATGTCACTGTGGTGATTACCAGGGGTTCCCTCCTGCAGGCTGTGACGGCTGGTGGTTTGGGCTCCATTGTTCGAGTATTGACTGACAGAAAGTCTGTCTGAAATGAGGCCACACCCCCACTCCCTCAGCGTGTGTCCTTAACAACTGTATTATAGAAGTCTTTCACTGTGTGCTGGTGTGCAGGAAATGATTTTTAGTAGTGATACAGACGTGCAGCAATAACATAGTTCAAGTCCTTTTGAGTGTCTTCTGCTCTCTCTTCCACACTATAACTGTCCCCTGTGTACATGTATACATAATATACACGGTGCGTTGGTGTAAACATACACACACCACAGAGTGACCTTATTTGGTGAAGTACAACAGCAAGAGCCCTAGCACATCAGAAAAGGAAGTGTGGCTACAACTAGCTATAGACTAAGGACAGGCCTAAGGACAGGCCCAAGTGATGTTGGAGTCGTCAGAGGAGAAAACTGTGTTCAGGAGAGTTCACAGACCTCAGTGTCAGCGGAGGCCAGAAGGCTCTCATCATAGGTCCAGGTGACAGCAAGGACAGGAGCAGAGTGGCCCTGTAGTCGGTTGACTACTGCTCCGGTCTCCACGTCAAAGAAATAGACATTGCAATCCTCACTTCCACTCACCACGCATGCCCCCTGACACACACACACACACACACACGGAGTAAACAGTCAGTCAAGGAAAGGGTGAAGGTTACCTGGAGGAAGCTCATGAGAGGGCAGAAGGCGCTGAGCACTGGATGTGAGTGATGAGGTACGGAAAACTTCCTCTTCATGTACACGTTACCATCAGGGAGCAGTCTGCAGACCATGAAGGACTGACAGTAGCACATGTAGTAAGGTTACAGACCTGAACAGACGCAGAGTGTCATCTGTTGTTGATATGAGGAGAGAAGGATCGCGGGCTTCTCTGTTCACCCACGTCCGATACGATATGGAGGTCACCATCTGACCAGGAGATACCACCAGTCTGGGAGGTCAGGGTTCACAGAGAGACATATTGACACTAGTGTGTGTGTCACCTCTTCAGACGCTGCAGTTTGCCAGAGACACTGTCTAGACTGAAGTTGTACACCGATCCCTGCATTGGTGGATCAGGTTTACTTGTATATACGTACTCGGAGCCACACCCACTGACCTTACTGTCCCCCCACCCAGAGATGGGAGTGGGTGGAGTCAAAGGCCAGACAGAGGGCGGCACTGGCCAGTTTGCTGGAGCCTCCCTGTGTGATGGACACCAGACTATGTGCCATCTTCAGAGACAGACAACTGTTACCTTCACTGCCTTCCCAGTGGAGACATTGAACACTTTCACCTGAGACTTGCTGTTGCCAATCTACCCACACATGGCTCAGGAACACGGCACAACGGAACGCACACAATTTTCAGTCTCAAAGTGTGGATAATTTGCAGCACATGTAAAGCAGTTCCGTCCATTACTAGTATAAGGATACGGCCACAAGGTTGTTGTTGTTAGGATGAAACCTGCAGCAGAGAGCTCTGCCACTGTTCCCATCGCTGATCTCCCGCAGACAGCTGCCAGTAGTGGAGTCCCAGAGCCTAGCTGTCCCATCGGACGATACTGAGACCAGCACCTCATTGGCCACCGACCAGTCAAAATCTGATATGGTGAGTATAGAGATAGATAGATAGATAGAGAGTGGTACCATTGACAGGTCTGCGGTGGCCAGAGAGGGTAGCTAGGAGAGAAGGAGGCTCCGTAGAGACATTGAACACTGACAGAGTTCCATCGCGAGAAGCACAGGCAAGTCGACTCTTGTCATCGTTGGCAAACCTGATTGCTATTACTGAGGAGTGATAGCAGAGACAAACAAACAATCATAGGTTGTGGAGACCTTACATTGTCAACAATAGACTGATTGTTGAATCATAGAAGCCGACAAAACTGACCTGCATCTTTGTGTCTGTCAAAGATGTGATGCATTCCACAGAAGGCGTAGTGCTCCGCGAGACTTGTGTCTCCAGCCATTGCCCGGCTGGCCTCTGCTGATCGAGTTGGGACCAGACCTCCGAGCAGAGACTCCCTGCGATGGTCTCTGGAGCCGGGACTACGACCACCTCCCTCTCTCACCACTGGCAGACTCTCCATGCTCAGCTGCAGGCTCTGAGGACGACAGGGAGTCAGACACCAGCCAGCAGTGATGATTGACTCACATGCCGACCAGAGCCTCTCATACTGCCAGTACTGCGAGAGTTGCTGCAGTGACAGAAAAACCTCTACTCCTCCCTCTCCACTCACAACAGCTCACCTCTTGACAAGGTGGCCATACTTGGCTGCCAGGATTTGGGCCCTCAAGTGAAGGTAGCCTCGTCTGATGGAAGGATCTCTCCCTCCTCGTGTCGCATTCTCCTGCAGCAGCTGATTCCGTCTCCGCAAGTACAGCATGTCTGGAGACACACCGGTAAACTCAGACTTTCCAAGCTAGTCAGCTCACGATTCTGTCTTGGCAAACTTCTGCAGGCGTTATAGCGCGTGTCAAGCGCTAAAACCTGTTGTGCCACGTTTACAGCCTCTACGAACGTGGAGAGAAGGGAGCAGCAATGGACGTAGGCTCCAAATACAAGGTAGACTCACCTTTCTTCTCCATGTTTACGGTGGGCGTTATTTGAAGGAAGATTGAAATTTGGTTTCTGCGCCAAACCTCGTGTGAGTTCCGTCTGCGCACTGCACTGGGAGCCGGCCATGTTTTCGGCTGAAGTTGAAAAGCGGTCGAAGGAGCATGAAAACCAGAGACAGGAAAGCGAACGGTTAGCTTTGAGAAAGAAGGACGTCAGAAGAAATGTACACAAGTATGACCGTCGAGGAGGTGGGAGGACAAAGGTGAGATGTCCCGCAGTGAATGGTGTGGGACACACAGTGAGGGAACGAACACTCTGCAGGCCAGCGGAGGAGGACGAGGACTAAAGAGAATACGGCAACAGAAAGAGAAGCATGCGGAGCTGGCAGCTCGGACGTCAGCCCGCATGGAGCTGCTCCTGAATGAAGATGCAGGGTGAGGGGCATATAATATGCAGGTAGTCTCCTGCCAGAACTCCAATGGTATAGGTGTGTGGAGGCTGAGGGAGCTGAGAGAACGTTCCGTTACCGGCAGTCAGAGATGGCAGCTGCAGTGCCTGTGGCTGCTGCACAGAACTACTTTGACTTGCAATTGGAGCAACTTGGTCCATACTCCCTCTCCTACTCTCGGAATGGCAGGTGTGCACTCATTCGGCACCTACTACATGCCCGTCTCTTTGTCTATGTAGGAACTTGCTAATTGGGGGAGCCAAGGGTCATATAGCCACAATGGACTGGCGGGAAAAACGTCTGGTAACAGAGTTCAATGTGAGAGAGGCAGTCAGAGATGTGCAGTGAGTTCACATGTCCTACAACCTGTGATCATCTCGCTCCCTGCTAGGTTCCTGCACAATGAGATGTTGTTTGCAGTGGCTCAGAAGAGAAGTGTGTACATCTATGACCACACAGGCATGGAGCTGCACTGCCTCAAGAGACACAGTCACGTCAACAGACTCACTTTCCTCCCCTACCACTTTCTCCTGGTGACAGCGGTGAGCAAAGAGTGTCATTTCCTGCCAGTCCTTCATGTCCTGTTCAGGATGATCACGGAACCCTGCGCTACCTGGACACCTCCACAGGCCAGTCTGTGGCTGAGATCAGAACTAGACTTGGAGCTCTCAAGTGTGTGGCTCAGAACCCTCGCAATGCGGTGGTCCAGCTAGGGCACTTTAATGGGAGTGTGTCTCTGTGGAGTCCCAGTGTGTCGTCTCCTCTGGCCAAGATCCAGTGTCATCGAGGCCCCCTCACCTCTCTGGCAGTAGATACGCCTGGTCACTACCTCCTCACTGCTGCCATGGACTCCACAGTCAAGGTCGCTCTGTCCTGTTTTTATGTGTGTATTTGGTGGTGAACTTGAGTTGTGTCCTCCTGGAGGTGTGGGATATGAGGACATACCAACCACTCCACACATACAAGATGCCAAGACCTGCAATTAGTATGGACATTAGTGGGCGTGGCCTACTAGCAGTCGGGCGAGGTCGGCAAGTGTCAATCTGGAGAGATGTCTTCTCCCAGAAGCAGTTGTCTCCATATCTCACTCATGGGTCTGTCTCACTACACCCTGTGTGTCTGTGATGTATGTACGAATCTATCCAGAGTAAAGGGAGAGATTTGCTCTCTTCAGTTTTGTCCGTTTGAAGACTGTCTGGGAATTGGACATGCTCTGGGGTTCTCCAGCATGCTGACACCAGGTGAGGCAGATTACATACAGATGATGTCATCATCCCAACATATCAGGTTCTGGCGAACCCAACTTTGATGCTCTGGAGGCTAATCCGTTTCAGACGAAGCGGCAGCGACAGGAAGCTGAGGTGAAGCAGCTGCTGGAAAAGGTCAGTCTCCAAGTCTCACTAGTATAAAGAACTAGAGGAGGATCTGGTTCAATAGATTCCACCAGAGTTGATCCAGATAGAGTCAGACAGCATAGCTAGACTGAGGAAGACAAGTGGAGTGGAGGAGGAGGAAGTTGGGGAGGAGGGAGGGAGTAGGGAGAGAAGGGGGACTAGGGTTGGCGGAAAGACACTGGCTCTCAAACGACAGAAGAGCAGAGAGCATTTTGCAAGAGTAAGGCTGGGTTCACAGTACGTCACATTGCCCTGTTGTGCTTTGTCGCAGTGGATAATGGATTCTATCCTCGCGACGTGGCACGGCGCAACGGGGCAGTGTGACATCTTAACGCAGTGAGAGTGGGTGTGGTTTCAATAATTGGTAAGCGAAGTGAGCCACGGGATTTTTCATCTGTAATTGCCCCATACCATAATCTTATACGTCACTCTAAATACGCATGAAACATGCAAAAAAATGTAACTGCTCGCTTCGCTTGTCAACAATGTAATTATATCTGTTGCAGGCCAAGAGGAGGACGGCTGTTCACAAGGAGTTAGAGAACCAGAAGAGAAGCCAGACTGGTGACAAGTCAGACTGCAGTGATGAGGCTGGCGCTCAGAAGAATATCATTCTTGCTAGGTTCAGAAAATGACAAACTCAGACCAAACATGTGATTGAATAACTGCACTCTGTATTGGATATGAAAGTGATTTGAAGCTAAAGTTCAAGGGCCACGTGCAATGTCCACTCTGTTGGAGAACTGAGTGTTCTCAGTGCCTCCAATGACCATAAACTCCTCCGCTGACAGAGGGAAGCAGCAGCAGTTGTGTTTAGCCACGGGAAGCTCAGCGACACGGAGCCACTCGCAGGTGCCTGGCAGGTAGAGGTGGATGTCTTTCTTCCTGCCCCCATGTCTGTCCTTGCCTCCGACCGCCAGCAGACAGCCACGGAATATGACCGCTCCACAGCAGGCGAGGGGAGGAGGGGGGAGCATGGCCCACCTGGTGCTCTCTCCTCCCTCCAGCTCCAGGATTAGCTGGTGCAGGGAGATGGCGAAGGTATGTGCTGGCTGCCTGAGCCCAGTCTCCCAGCCCATGAGGTACCAGGTGTCAATTTCAGGTCGAGTGGCGTCCTGGAGAGGGGCGTTTTGGATGAGTCCCTCAATGGGGGCAGGGAGTGGGGCCACTGTTGACCACTGCACCGTATGTGTGTTCAGCACCTCCACAACAGTCAGGTTCTCCTCTCCGTTTGAGCCCCCAGCCACCACCAGGTAGCTCTTGTAGCCTACAGCGGCTGCATCGCTGCGAGGGGTTGGCATTGGTCGAAACGTGGGTCTCCAGTAGCGCCCCCTCTGGTCCCACTGGACCAGGTTATTGCTGTATGTGTCCGACGCCAGGTTGTACCCTCCGACAAGCACCAGCATTCGGTTGTCTCCAAGCACGGCCATTGCGAAGAGGGAGAGGTTGTATTTTCCAAGAGTATTCCACACTCTGCGGTCTGGTCGGTAGAACATCACCTGTTGCTGACTGTCCACATCTGCGTGGCCCCCGGCAACGACGACACTGTTTCCAAACATCACAGCTTTGGCCGAGTGAACTCCAAAGGCAGCAGCGTTTGTGGGAGTGAAGCTGAGAGGGAGCTCAATGTGCAGTCCTAGGGGCTGGGGAAATATAATTATGACACTAGTTGTAACAAGTGGAAAAATCATTTCTGAAAGGGGATGTAGGGGCGTCACATCACGAAAAAGAATGGGAACAAGAAGATGCCTACACCAAAACAGATAGTCATTCATAACCCCATTCCTACACCTTTGTTTTGTTTAGAAATGTTTTGCTAGTCAATAATGCATTAGGCAACGAAAAGAGCATAAAAACCTCTTAACATCCGCATGTGTACATGAACGGAAAGAAACAAAGATGTAGGGATTGGGTTATGAATGACTATCTATCTGTTTTGGTGTAGGCATCTTCTTGTTCCCTTTCTTTTTCATGATGTGACGTCCCTACATCCCCATTCATTTCAGAGAAAAAATTTTTCTACTTTTCCCACTCATCCCCAACAAAAAGAGACGTAGTTGTGGTGAAACTTTATGCACGCGCACACCAACACCTCCCCCACACCGTGCATGCTGAGTTGGCAACAAATGGCGTCAGTGTCCACCGTGAAGAGCCCCACAATTTACGGTAGATATGCATGACGGGAGAAAAACGATCGCTTGATGTCTGTTGACTGTGGAGACATTTAGTGGGAAATCAGCGCTTTAGCTAGTTCTGGTAAGGAGATAGCGGGTTTACTGAAGAAGATGATGATAATAAAGAATATGAAGACACGAAATCGTGAACTCGTGTATGAGCGGATTCTCGCACGCAAAACTGAAGGCGTGTACGGAAGCTTTTGCCTTATGTATAGTTAGAGATGGGCCCAAGAGTTGTTGCTGGTGTGTATAGAAGGCCTACATTGGTGTTCTCGCCGAGTTATGTGCGCGGATCACGTGAGATCTCACTTGTGCCATCCCTACATAGAGCGTCTACCGACGCTCTAATATCAGAGTAAAAGGCAGTTCAAAATGCAGGTGTACATATGTTCTTAAAGTATTTGTGTGTGGTTCTGCTATATTATAGCTGTGGTACTATTGTGTCACACAGAATGCTAGATAGTCTCGCAAGCTGTGCTGCCTCACCTGAGGAGGTGGTCTGGCAGAATTCAAGTTCCTGAGTCGAGCATTCTCGCACCTGATGGTAACGTTGTCTCGTCTCGCTGCTTCCAGTTCCCTCTCCACCCCCTCCAGCCGCACCTGGGGTCAGAGGTGCATTACACTGACACATGAGAGAGGCTGAGAGTGCTCACCAGGTCAGTCAGCTGGGTCTCTCTCTGATGCAGCCCCTCCTGAGAGAGAGAAGAAGTATATACACCACATGCGTGGGATCGGGAGACATACTGTTGCAGTGTCCAGCTGAGAGCGAAGCCTGGTGATAGTTTGCCTTGCTTCAGTCAGTTCTCCCATTACCCGGTCCACCTCCCTCTTGGCCTGCAGTATCTGCTCCCTCTTCTCCTCCAGCGCCACCTCCTTTCTCTCCACCTCTGTCGTCAGCCGCTCCTGAGAGAGAGATACCTGCTTTATTGTGTTGGAGAATACCAGTAACTAGGCAAAAGACACAATGCCAGACCGAAGACACTGAGTCTGGCTCTCATTGTCCGGTCACAGTCAAGATCTTGCAGTGTACCATATCATTGTAGTGTCTACATTCCACTAGCTGTTGTCTGTCACCATTACCTGGACTCTTTGCTATATAAACCATCCCTCACTAGGATACTTCAGTTGTACCGATAGTAAGACTGCTATAGTGCAGGAGCTACGAACCTGTTCTGTCTGTAACTGTGCCTTCTCCTGCTGCAAACTCTCCACTTGTCTGCGAGCCTCACTGAACTGGCGCTCCATTGCCTCACTCCTGTCCCTCTCCTGGATCCTCAACATCTCCTGCATCGAGAATGGCTGTGGCTGGCAGATACGCCAAGTAGCCTACCCTGAGAGCAGTCAGCTCCCTCTCCTTCCTGAGGAGCTCAGCCTGGAGCCTGGTCAACTGCTCCTCCATGAACTGCCAAAGAATACATCATAATACGCCACCTCAGACAGACAGCCAACTAACAGCTTTCTCTCTCTCCTTGTGGGTGATGTTGGACTGGACTGAGTGCAGCTCTCTCTCTTTGGTGGAGAGGAGCTGGTTGAGCCTGCGAAGATCATCCTCCTGTCTGCCAATCTGCCTCTCCTTCTCGGCCAGTAGAACCCCCAGCTCATCCTCCTCATACAAGATCCTCTGCACCTCTCATTACAAATCCCATGGGATACAGGAGACCAGCCCACCAGGTGGGACTCTAGCTTCTCACCTGCAGCTCCTCGCACTCGGTTGACAACCTCTGCAGCTCCACGATCATCTGGAGCTTGTCCCTCTCCATCACATCATCCTCGGCCTCCGCCTGTAGCTGACTCACTCTCTCCAGGATGGTCACTGCTGTGGGTCTGCGGTCTGCCACGTTACTCAGACATTCTCTCACAATGGACAGCAGAGGATGGTCAGTGTCCCCCAGGACCTGTGACAACAGTTGTGGTTGAAATTGAAAATGATCGGCAGAATAACAAACTCATCGGCATGTGACCTGCTCTGAGCGACTCATGTATGGTTGCCTCCTCTGCAGCTCATTTCTTGGTTTCAGTTCGTTAGCATCCATGTAGGTTGCCGGGAGAGGGTCTTTGGGGAACTCCTGTGTCACCACAAAAAGCAGGAGAACCCCAAACGAGAAGATGTCCAGTTTGCTGGAGTAAGTCAGGAGATCCTCGGATTGGGCAGACTCTGGAGGCATGTACACCCCGGCCCCCGGTATGGAGGTCAGGTTGCGTGACAGGTGAAGTGGGTCTATGATGCGAGCCACTCCAAAATCAGCGATCTTGGCCACGAGCGCGGAGTTGAGGAGGACATTTCTAGCGGAGAGATCTCGGTGGACGATGGGGGGAGTCTGGCTGTGCAGGTATGTGAGACCACAGGTGATGTCCTTCAGGAGAGAGAGTTTGATGGACATGTGGATCCTCGGGTGCTCCACCAACATGTCGTGGAGGTTGTAGGGCAGAAACTCCATGACCAGCACGGGCATCGAGAGCTCCAAGAAACAGATGCCCAGGAACTGCACAATGTGCGGATGGCGAAGATCCTTCAGCAGCCGACATTCGTGCACGAACTTTTCCCTCAAATTCCCCTCATGGGCGTGCAGCAGAATGTAGTGAAGCGCCTTCCCAGCCACCAACGTTCCGTTGTAGTTCAGTTTGGTGACGTAGCCGTAGGCGCCGTCCCCTACGTGCTCTCCAGCGATCACGTCTTGCAACACGTATTCTTGCAGTTCGGGAGCCGTAGCGATGGACATGGACCTCCGTAGTAAGACGGTGTCAGGCTGGCCTGGACTGAGCGCCATGATCCGCGTTCACAAAACCACCAGTTTCGTTTTCTATGCTGCGTGTGTGTGGGACGCATGCGTATACGACCGGCCGTCGTACGTCGTGTAAGTGCGCATGCGCGGATTTGTACGAGCTTCTAGTTAATTCTACGCACGACGACGATCTCCGCGTGCGCGCGCACGCAGAGTATCGCAGAGCTAGCTAGCTAGCTAGAGTCGAGTGGTCATGCTGCGGCGGTCACTGCTAGTTCTGTACGGCAGTCAGACAGGGACAGCAGAGGATGTGGCGAGGAGAGTAGGGAGGGAGGCTCGTCGAAGACATCTGAAGACCATTGTTACTTGTATGGATGCTTACGACAAGGTGAGTATCACGTAGGGATGTTCTTGGAAAACCCCAATGCTGCCCCTGCAGTCCCAACTAGTGTTCCAGTCAGTGGTCGTGTTTGTTTGCTCCACCACTGGCCAAGGGGACGAGCCAGACAACATGCGTCAGTTTTGGAGATTCCTGCTGCAGAAAAGCCTCCCAAAGGACTCCCTTGCTAGTGTCCGGTTCAGCGTAATGGGGCTAGGGGACTCATCCTACCCCAAGTATGGTATCACATTCAGTGAGATCAACCCCACAAGTTGGACTTCCGCAGGTACAACTATGTGGCCAAGAAACTTCACCGCAGGCTCTTGCAGTTAGGGAGCACTGCCTTGCTACCCCTGTCGCTAGGAGATGATCAACATGACATGGGGTGCGATGCAGCAGTGGATCCTTGGCTGGAGAACCTGTGGAGAGAGGTCCTGGCCCTCTACCCTCTTCCCCCAGGCCTGGAGCCTATCCCTCACTCCACTCTGTATGCAGCCCTCATCACTGCATTGTCTTCACTAATTTGATCTTTTGCAGTCTCACTCCCTACCTTCGACTGACCCCTGCAAGCACAGTGACCTCCTCATCACATCCTATGTCTCCTTCCTCACTTCCACCTTCACGAGCACATCCCTTCCGTGCACGTTTGGTGGCTAATAAGAGGGTTACATCACCGAATCATTTCCAGGATGTTCGTCTGATAACTCTTGACATTTCTGCTGCAAAAATCAGGTACCGGTACAGTGGTGCGTGTTGAAATACAGGCATCAGTCAGCCCCCTCCTTCCAGGTACAAGGCAGGAAATGTTCTGATGGTTCAGCCACAGAACTCACCCACTGCAGTGACCACTTTCCTCTCCCTCCTTTCCCTACATCCTCGGCAAATGGTCTCCGTGGAGACATCTGACTCAAACCCTTTACCGGCAGCTCTGCAGGGCAGGTTTTCTCTACACCACCTTGCCACCCACTACCTTGACATTAGCTCTGTTCCTCGGCGGTCTTTCTTCGACCTCCTCGCCCAGTTTGCCTCGTCTGAAAGAGAGAAGGAGCGACTACTTGAGTTCAGTTCAACTGAAGGCCAGGTGGGTGTGCCTACATCCTCAGCTGTACACTGAGGTTCTCGCTACAGGAAGACTACTATTCCTACTGTTGGAGGCCTCGGAGAACTATTCTGGAGGTCTTGGCTGACTTCCCTTCAGCTGCAGCTGACCTTGATCCGTCTTACCTGTTGGAGCTCATTCCTGCCCTTCAGCCTCGCGCCTTCTCCATCGCCTCTTCTCTAGCTGTAGGTCTGTTCAAGAGAGGTCAGAATGTCTTAGCTCTCTGCAGGCCCACCCAGGCTCTGTCCAGATCCTGGTGGCTGTCGTGGAGTACCAGACACACCTTCAGGAACCCAGGAAGGTGTACTCTTCTCTTACTCTGCCCAGCTGGCTATTATACCTACGATACAGGGAGTGTGCTCTTCATGGTTGGCGTCCTTGGATCCTGGAGCCACTGTCCCAGTGTGGGTGGTGTCTGGCTCCTTCTCCTTCCCCCTACAGCCTCACACCCCTCTGGTCATGGTGGGACCTGGTACTGGGTGTGCTCCCTTTAGAGCTCTCCTGGAGGAGAGAAACAGTCAAGGAGAGTCAGGTAGTGGAATTTCAGCCATCCCATTGTCGATATCATCACTCCTTCTTCAGCTAATATGCTGTTCTTTGGTTGTCGGTCAGCCACTGCTGACCATTTCTTTGCTACGGAGTGGAGTGAGATGGTAGCTACAGGAATGCTCACACTCTACACTGCATTCTCCAGAGACCAGTCTTTCAAGGTAACGCTTAGGCTAGGTTAACAATGTCGCATTGCCCCGTCGCACCGTGCCGCATTGCGAGGATAGAATCCATTTCTATCTTCGCGGCACGACACGACGTGGCACAGGGCAATGCGATGCATTGTAAACCCAGCCTTAGCTGACTCTGTACATTGACATGTTGAGGTGTATATAAGCATGTATGTGATTTTTGGTGTACACATAGGTGTATGTGCAGCACTGTATTGAGAGGGAAGGAGGGAAGGTGTGGCAGTGGTTGGAGGGTAGGAAGGCTAGTGTCTTCATTGCAGGGTAGGTTCTCTCCAGAGGAGGTTGGACATGGTACCATTTTTATGTGACAATATTAAGCAGCGGGAATGCAATTAGGAACGTTTACCCTCTGTGTGCTTCTGTTTCTGTGGCATAATTTTCCGAACTGAATAAAATTCCTGCGTGTGCTATTTCGAGCCTCTTCTGCTTACCTGCATACTCGCCTACAATTTTTCGTGCATTTCACGCGTATTTAGAGTCACAGAACATCACGGTATGTGCAGTGCCTGGTTGGATCACGTCACTGTGTCCAACTCCCTCTGGGTTCTCTTCTTAGCTGTCGCCCAGCATAATGACAACCCCCCCCCCAACAGAAATGCAAAACGGATGCCGCAAGATGTGCAGCAAGCTCTGCAGTCAGTGTGTGAGAAGTGGGGAGGTCTGGACCCAACTGAGGCTCGGGCCTACATGGCCTCCCTCACTGCTTCCTGTAGACTACAGTTAGAGACTTGGAGTTAGCACCTATAGTACAATCTGTATTGATCTATGAATGGATGATCTGACATTGATAAGTATATAAGTAATCTCAATCAGTTTCTGCCTCGGTCGCTGCTGCTCCGTTTTGGCGCGACGTTCTGGCTTCTCTAACTTCCTGTAGTAACTGTCTAGCGTCCTGCGTGAGCTGCTCACTTCTGCTCTCCATTACGCTCATGTAGTCCGCCAGCTGGTCCAGCTGGCGGTCTAGAGACTCGTATTCTGAAGAGAAGAGACCTAAATCAGTCTCGTCCAGACCCTCACTTGTAGAACCTTGCAATGCTTCCGACACCTGCTGCTGACTCTCCTGCACTGCTTCCATCTCCTCTGGTCCCTGTTTAAATTGAAATCATGCGCGTAAAATTAATTGGTTGCGCATGCTGCAGCCCCTCCTCCTCCTACAAAACATGGAGAAATCCCTGAAGCGGGGTTTGGATTTCAGGTTGGCATACGACTGTCTGGCGGATTCGAATGGACTAGTTCGTTTGGAGTTGTTGCTGTCTCACTGGCCCGCTGTCACCGTCACATCTGGAGCCTGCGAGAACTTCTGGCGTCAGAAAGCCAGTCCAGAGGGGTTTCTGGATTGGCAGTCTTTCTCTGGAGGCCTGCAGGCTGCCCTGCAACCAAAATATGATAGGTCTCACAAGTCTGAGCAGTCGAGGTTGGCTCCTGTTAGACGTCCAGTGGCTCAGGTAACGTCAGGAGAGATAGAGCGGTTTCTCTCCTCCTGTTGCTCGAGTGGTCTGGTGAAGGCCTTAGAAAAAGCAGGACGCGACATTCACCGCTGGCAGGTTTCAATTCACAAGCAAGACTCTCATAGAGAAGGTAACTCATGGATATTTTAATCCTTAGGTGTTGTTGAAAAGAATGTCTGTTTGCAGTGGCCAGTAAAGAGAAAATAGAGCAGCGCCGAAAAGAAGGCAGAAAGAACAGTCGGCAGCATTCGACAGGTCTATCTGCCGCCAGAGAGAAGGAAGAGTTGTTAAGAGGAGCAGAGGTACTGCAGAATACCCAGAGATGGTTTCAAAGTCGGCTGGCGTTTTTATCAGCCGAGCAAAAGCAGAGAACTGCCGAGAAGGTGTGTACTCAAATACTGTAGAATTGTGTATTAGTGTTGCTGCAGCTGGGTCCTGAGGAGGTTCTGGCAGAGATGGATGCTGGAGAGGAGGAGAGTCCTGTGTTACACCACCTCAAGCAGATTAACAACCATCTATCCTCCTTGGCACTAACAATCAACTCTCTACTTCCACTTACTTCATCCCAGAAAACAAACAGGTATGTGGTGTGCGTCACGGTAAAATCTCAAACATCATGTGTATATACCTTCTCTCTCCCTGGCAGCCTCCGGGGACCTAGTGCAGTGGTGGAGTACCCCAGTCTGAGAGTGCAGCCTCCGATGAGGGGCCCAACAAGGACCGGTAGAGGGAAGGAGCCACAGCTGTACCATGCTGGAAAGAAAGCAGGCCACCCTCAACGAGCGATGCACATGTCCGTGCATCGCCTCGTTTTATATAAGAGAATAACAAGGACACAACCTGACAGATTGTGCTACAGCAGACTTCTATTTGCAATTCTTATAAACCGAGACATTGATAACGACACCGTAGTTGTGATGATTTATGAACCACCTTCAATGACCAAAAACCATCGTGAAAGTAGTGGAACGATGACCATATTTGATAATTTAAAACATGAAAATTGCAATTATAGGAACAGGATACGTCGGCTTGACCACAGCGGTGGTCCTCTCCTATCTCAACCATGATGTCGCAGCGGTGGACAAAGACGAAAGCAAATTAACCCTTTTGCACGAAGGAAAAAGCCCGATCCATGAACCCGGCATCCAAAACCTTCTTGAAGATGTACAGCATACGATCCGTTTCACGCCGAGTGCGGCTGAAGTTGTCCCAGAGGCAGAACTGATTCTGATTGCCGTTGGAACACCGCCAAAGAAGAACGGTGAGGCGGATACACGGCATGTTGAACAAGCCGCGAGAGAAGTCGCACAAGTCTGTCTACCCAATAGACACTACACGCTTGTCGTCAAATCTACGGTCCCGATCGGCACTAACCAGCGCGTCGTTGAAGTTGTGGAACACGTCTTTTCTGAACGCGGGATTCAAGGAAATATCTCTGTCGCGTCAAACCCAGAATTCTTGCAAGAGGGATTGGCGTTACAAGGTGCGTTTCTACCCAGATCGGATTGTCGTCGGGGCAAACAGCGATGAAGCAGTGGATACCTTGCGTCGCCTCTATCAACCGATCCTTGAACAGACCTTTGATCCGCCAAGCGAGTTCCCACGTCCATCCGCTTACCACCTCCCACCGATGATGACAACGGATCCGAACAGTGCTGAGATGATTAAATACGCTGCCAACACCTTCCTCGCGCTTAAAATCAGTTTTATCAACGAGATCGCTGGTCTTTGTGAGGAAGTGGATGCAGATGTGACGGAAGTCGCACGCGGTATCGGTCTTGATGGACGCATTGGAAATCGATTTCTGCGAGCCGGTCTCGGCTGGGGTGGCAGCTGCTATCCGAAAGATACCGCCGCACTATTAGGTGTCGCAGCACAATCTGGATACGAGATGCCGATTACGGAAGCCGCACGCACCGTCAACTTTCGCCAACGAGAACGTATCATTGAAAAATTGCGTGGGATGCTGCGGACGCTTGAGGGCAAAACCGTCGGTATCCTCGGACTTGCCTTTAAGCCGAACACCGATGACATTCGAGAAGCACCCGCGCTAGACATTATTCAAGAACTGCTTGCCCAAGGTGCAACTGTTCGCGCACATGACCCTATTGCCATCCCAAATGCTCGCCATGCTTTAAGCGAAAACGACAAGACGGAGAACAGATTGCACTTCACTGAAGATGTATATGAACTTTCCTACGATGCTGACGCGTTGGTACTTGTCACCGAATGGGACCTCTATCATAAACTCGAACTCCGTAGACTCGCCAAGCAGATGAAGACACCTATTCTCATTGATGGCCGCAATGTTTATTCGCCAGAAGAAGCACGCGCTGCAGGTTTCCACTACATCGGGTCGGCAGAGCGTAGACCCAACTAACGACATGGACGCTTTCAAACAACCCGAACCCTTTGATTCAAATTGGCAGCGATATTGCCCACAAAAGCCGTTTCCACCGTATCGCCATATACCCGGTGTCACACCACATCCGATTCGCGACCCGCTCGGACACAGTTATGGGATGGAAGAGGAACACGACGCTGAACCGCTGTCACCGGAACGCTGGAGACAAAACGAGGACTACCTCTACGGTGTGGATCTCTACAATTTCGCCTATTGGTGGGAAGCACATGAAGCGTGGGAAGGATTATGGCATCAAGCAGAAGACACGTATCGCCTCTTCCTTCAGGGATTAATTCAAGTATCAGCATCCTTGATTAAATACCACATGCGGATGCTGCGTCCTTTGCGTACGCTTTCTACCGCGGGGCGCGATAAATTACGGCAAGTTATCGTTGAATGTGACGATACGTTGGGCAATTACATGGGACTCAATCTACCAGTATTTTTGGACACCGCCGATGCATTTTTTGCCCCTTTCTTTGCCGACACTGTCCCAGAAACCATCTATCGTCAGGAGTCGTAAACCACTAATATTGTTGATGGATTAACGAGTTGTACCAGTTATTTTTCACGCTTAGCGCGAGTTTAATTTCTGCAGAATGCAAGCAGCATTGCAACAACGGCGCAATGCTGAACTTAGACCAAGCCTGTTATTATACCCAATTAACTTGATTAGAAGTTTTTTGATCAAGTCAGCATTGCGAGGCACAGGGACCTCGCGCTACAAAGTTAATTTGGTATAACCGATATACTTGTTTACGCTTGGCGCGAGTTTTAAAACTGCTATCATTTCAGTTTTATCTGTGTTTTCATCATCGTGTTGCTGCTTGTCCTGTTTAAGATAGGGGCACACTTCGGCAGAAGTGATGCGGACGAATTCCGGGCTGTTCGGTGTCCACAATGTCAAACCCGACGGAAACCGGAAAAAACAGGTACGGTCAGAAACCTTGTTGAACTTGAGATGCGCTGCCCCCGTTGCGGATTCATCTCATGGGATATTCCGCCGAAAACGAACCTATCCACACGTCCCACTGATCCAGATAATACGCCATAATGATACGGTTAGAAATCAGCGAATGCCCCGTCGTCTGAGTGCCAGAACATTCCACGTAACCGAAACGTCTCATCTCGAACCGCTTCAATAGCCGCGTCATCCATATCCACACCGAGTCCAGGTGCCGTCGGTAGTTCGATAAACCCGTCCTTGAATATCAGAGGGGTCGAAAATAACCCTTCTCCGCGCCGGTGTCCACCCTCGCAGATTAGCAAATTCGGCACCGTTGCCATAACATGTATCGATGCAGCGACCCCGATGGGACCGGCAGCGTTGTGCGGAGCGACTGCGATATTGTGAATTTCTGCCATGGCTGAAATCTTTTTCAGTTCCAGTATCCCACCGCAGTGTCGGATATCCGGTTGCAAAATCGCGCACATCTCACGCTCGATTATCTCTCGGAAACCCCACCGGGTCAAATGTCGTTCGCCGGTTGCGATCGGGACCGTTGTGGATCGGGACAACATCAATAAGGGTTCGTTATTTTCCGGATGGCACGGTTCTTCAGCAAACAGGAGCCGGAACGGTTCCAATTCTTTCACCAGAATCACCGCCATCGTCGGGCTTAGCCGCCGGTGCAAATCAACGGCAATATCAACCTCGTCGCCAACTGCCGTGCGCACTGCTGCCACTCGCGCTACCATCGTGTCAATTGCCTTCGGCGTATCCACAAATCGTACGGGCTGAGTTGAGGCACCCATCTTCACTGCCAAAAATCCAGCTTGAACTGCTTTTCTCGCGCTCTCTGCACATTCCTCAGGCGTTGTGCCGCCTATACCTGTATAGACGCGAATCCGCCTCCGCACCGAACCCCCGAGCAACTTCCAGACTGGCATCCCGACGACTTTGCCGAATACATCCCACATCGCCATCTCAATACCGCTTAATGCACCGACCAATACCGGCATGTTCCTGCTATAACTCGATCTGTACATCGCTTGCCAGTGCGCTTCAATTTGAAGTGGGTCTTTACCGACAAGGTATTCTGCCATGTCGTCTACGGCTTGCGCAACGACGCGCCAATGCTCGTAGTTCATCGGTTCACCGTAGCCGATCACACCTTCATCGGTGAACATTTTCAGGATCATTGCGCGACCTTGAATCGGTATCGTCTCAAATCCGGTAATCTTCATAGCGTCCTCGCGTCCTAAACCGGTCGCCACCGGATGATGCAGAAATGCGAATTTCCTGTAGCGTTCTCCCATTTACTGACATCACCGTAGCAGGAACCGATAAATGTTAGTATCTCTTCACCGTCTAAACTGATGTGTCGCGGGAAGCCTGCGACGTGTCCATGACAGAGATAGTAGACTTCATCGGACCAATTTTTACCACTGTCATCGCTTACCATCGCACGACCACTGCCGAGTTCTCTTGGATAACGGTGATCATAAGCCACAACAGAACGGTCGTTAGAAAGCCCGACTGCTGCACCGTGGCACTGACCATGCACACTCGTCAATTGACGCAGACCCGTCCATGTAGCACCGTTATCTACTGAATCAGCAAGGAATACGGTTTTGTTCGTCTGGGGTTTATCCGGTGGTCCCGGCTGATACCGGATCACAGCAAGCAGCCGCTCCGGGAAAAGCTCTGCAATGTTGACTTCATTGCCGTAATCTGACAAGAAGAAGCGGTTTGAAAAAGTGTGTCCATCATCGTCGGAAACGAACACATAGGTCGGATTCGTGCCTTCATAAAACGGATCATCACGTCTTTTAATCGGGAGGAGAAGCGTGCCATCACTGAATCGGGTCAGGCTTGCACCAGCGACAGTTTTCTGAAACGGTGCAACGTCTATTTCACTCGTCTGTTCCCACGTCTGCCCGTCATCATCGGATAGCCAGACAGTGGTCGGTTGTTCCTCACCGTGTTGACTCACATTAATAAGCTGCCCGTGACGATTGGCTTGCAACAACCATCCACTAAACCCGAACGCGGAAGGGTCTCTACTGAGGTGTTCCCAAGCCTTACCGCCATCTGTGGATTTGGAGATGATCGTGTGCTGCACTGCATAGATAGTCCTATCGGGCGTTAAAACGAGGTTCAATCCCTGATAATGCGCTTGTGGATCCAAAGGCATTCGAGTCTTCTCCACTGAAACCTTGCTTAGCACACCATCACGGGCATGTAGAATATAATCGCCCGCTTGCATCTCGCTTAATTGGCTTGGGGTGACGACAACGCCTCCCATGTTTTCAGTTGATAGCATTCGCAGGGCTCCCTCTGTAGTAATTTTTCTCTTGTCTAACGTGATGAATTATGGCAAAATGTTTGACACATTCTATCCTGCTAATTTACACGATACACCGTACGAGTGCAAGCCATATTTGAAGGAAAAGAAATATATGAACATATTTGACGCGACTCGGAAACATTACAATGCGGCGGGTGTCCACCCGACAACCGACCCCGATAACCCGAAATCACAATTTGCCGTTGACAGATATGAAAATCATTTGCGTAAACTCATAAGACCCGGCATGCGCGCATTAGACTTAGGCTGCAATGCAGGACGGTTTCACTTTGCGATGGAAGACATGGGTGCGATCGCTACCGGTATTGACTTCGCAGAGATTCCACTCCTCCACGCAAAAAAGGTGGCACACAAAAGAAAGAGCCAATGTCAATTTAATATCGGCGATATGGCTGCTCTACCTTACAAGGAGAATTCTTTCAATCTCGCGCTACTCCCGCAAAATAATATTTACTTATCATATCAGGCACTGGAAAACTTGTCAGTTCAGCTTAAGCAGATTCTATCGGATAACGGTATTTTCGTTGTAATTATGCATGATGAATTGGTCAAAAGAGCAGGAGAGGAAGCCCTTCCAGAGCGATACGATGTACAGACCGGTTTGATAGGAGGAAGCAGGGCAATTCCTGACAAAGGTGTGTACGCATCTCCGACCTATTTTTGGACAGTCGTCTTTGCCAAGCACATCGTTGAGAAACATCTTCCTTTAAAACATGTAGAACAAATAGAAGAAAACAGATTTATGTTGGTGTTCCGTAATAAAAAGGAACATGGAGGTCTATAAGTGCCACAACAAGACGCGATAGAACATCTCGAAACATTCGGCTATTGTTTGATTGAAGATGCGATCCCCGCAGCACAGGCTGATACAATGGCGGAGAAGTATTTCCAACTCCATCAAAACCCAATGAACAGCGATGCTTTTCAGGACCCAAACGCGGATTTATATCAAACCCTTTTCGGCGTAATCAACCTTGATGAAATGTGTTGGGAATGCATCGCACATCCACAGGTACTACAGGTTGTCCGACATTTTCTCGGCGATAGTGCACGGCTCGGAGAGGCTTGCACAAAGTGGGTCAAACCACGTGCACCACAGGGCGGCATTCATTCCGATTCAACGCATGACCTGCCAGCACGTCTTCCCGAAACACCGTGGATGATTAATTCAATCTGGATGATAACAGATTTTACCGTTGAAAACGGCGCAACGCTCGTCGTGCCGTTCAGCCACCGCGCACGACGCAGACCTTCAGGATCGGATATAGCCGAAAGTCATCCAGTACCTGTCTGTGGACGACGCGGCTCCGTACTCTTGTGGCACGGCGGTACGTGGCACGGACAAGGTGCAAACACAACCGACGACGAGCATCGTATGGCGTTGAATATTGCTTACTATCCGGCTTGGTGGAATCTCATGCGGGAAGGTGGACATCAACCCGTTTTTCCAGAGACGTTTGCGCGAATGCCGGAGGACCTTCAAGCACTCGTCCGACACAAGGTAGCAAAACACCGTGCGGACATTTACGAGTTTTGAGTCGGCTTCTACCTGAATCCATGATCAGTTATTTTACCCGTTGTCCTGCTTGAAACACCGCTGCCACTCGGCTAAAGGCATCTACATCCTTCGTCGGATCGCTCTCAAAAGCGACGAGGTCAGCGATCTTGCCCGGTGCGATGGTTCCAATCTCGTCCGCCATTCCGATGGCTTCGGCAGAGATGCGGGTCGCTGACATGAGTGCTTCTGCTGGCGTAAATCCGACTTCAACGAGCAGCTGCAAGTCGTAATCGAGATGTCCGAATGCAAGGCTACCGACACCTGAATCGGTACCGGGGACAATCCGGTCGTGGAGTCCGTAGTCGAGCATACGTCGCATCACATCCAAGCGCACTTCTGCCCGCGCCTCAAGTCGCTGCAATTCAGTCGCTTCCTCAGTAGAAATCGTCCCACTGTCCCGTTTCGCACGGAGTTCAACGATGTGTGGATAGCCCTGTCCACGCTTGGAGGGTTGGACTAATCCAGATGCCCGACTCCGCCATCATCTCGGCAATTTTGGGATCAAACCGAAGTTCACCGTCCGGGTCGAGAAACTCAGCATGCTCCATCAAATCGATGCCTGCCTCAACAGCACGCACCATCGATTCCTTCGCCCGACAATGTGCGACCGTGAGCCGGTGGAAATGGTGTGCTTCATGGACAGCGGCGTGCAACTCAGCAACGGAATAACTGGCGCGTCCGGGAATCGTTCCAGCAGTGCCACCGCCTGATGCCATAATCTTGATATAATCCGCGCCTTCGTGAACCAACCGGCGGACCGAGCGTCGCATCTCATCTTCGCCATCCGCTGTTTCGTTACATACATGGAAGTGTCCACCTGTGCAAGTGATCGGTCGTCCGCTCACTAAGGCACGGGGACCCGGAATATAACCGCGTTCAAGCCCTTCTTTCAGCGTAAATCCTACCTTGTTTCCTCGCGCCGTGCTCACGGATAGTGGTAATCCCCGCTGCGAGATGGCGTTGCAGATTCATTGCGCCGGTCAGCACCATCATCTCATCGGTTTCAGAGAACATCTGAACGTAGTTTCGTCCATCACCTGCAAGACTCAGGTGTGTGTGTCCATCAATGAGACCCGGCGCGAGACACGCATCACCGAGGTCAATAATTTGTGCATCAGGTGGTGTCTGTTTCGCAATCTCTTCTTGATGCCCGACGGCATCAATCCGTCCGTTAGTTACGAGGATCGCCTGATCGGTTTTAGCGGACGTGCTTATTCCATCAACGAGTCGAGCGGCACGGATCTGAACGGTTTGATTTGGCATGAATCCAACTCCTTTAGATGCTGTGCTGATTTCAGACTTTCACAACGAATTCACACCCCTGTCGGAACCATTCTCGAAGGATTGTGTCCTCGTTGCAAGTCCGTTTGCCTGCGAACCTGTCGCCTTTGAGAGGTCTATTGTTGCCGAGACGATGTCATCTCCGAAAAATCCAGCCTCTGTGATGACGTTGCCATCTGGATGCACAATCTTCGAGTTCCCATGCGAGGCACCAGTTGCCCTTAAGTCATCAGGATTTGCCGGTGTATTTGCCATCAAGAGGTAAATCCCGTTTTCCGTCGCACGTGAGATCGGCATCGCACGATAAGCGGAAAGTTTATATTCCGATAACAACCCCGATTCGCACGAGCAGAAGATGCAGAGTTGCGCACCCATCGCCGCTGGTAACTTGACTAACTCTGGATAGCGTACATCGTGGCAGATGATAAAACAACAGTCAACACCGGCAAGCTGCACAATCGGCAGTTTACCACGATTGTTGATACACCACTTCTCTCCCGCGAGGAATGTCTTGCCGTAACGGTATTTAAGGCTCCCCTGTTGGTCGAAAATCGCTAAATCGTTGTGCCAATTCTCGCCATCGTGATGCGCGGAACCGACAACGACAGCCATCGTGTGTCGGCGCGCAGCTTCGGCAATTTTCGCCTCAGCCTCTTTGAAAATCTGCGGCGAGATGCGTTCCCAATAATCTGTCCGACAACAGGTAGCCGAACAGACATCCTTCCGGGAATGCCGCGATTTGGATCTTCATCTCTGCACACGCCTCAATCTGCTGAAGTACTTTTGTGGTGTTAGCAGAAACATCTTCACTCGTGAGCAATTGACACGCCGCTATTTTAACCTGATTATCAGCCATCTGAATGTCCTCCTTTGCGTTTTTGGCATTGTATCACATCCGCCCATTTGATTCAAGGGACGGTAAAATCGCGATAGAATAGTATTCTTTGATCAAACTAAACGTCTGTTACAAGTTTAAATGGACATACACATTAGAATTCCGGTATAATTTCCGTAATAGACACATTATATTAACTCAA